GTTCAGCCCTCCACACTCAACACCACATAAACTGGATGCTGTGGTGGACACTTGCAATCACACCCCTTGGGAGGTGGAGGCCGGAGGACCAGAAGTTCATAATCATCTTTAGCTACATCAGGTTCAAGGCCAGCCTGGACTACATAGGTCCTCATACCTCAAAATCTAAGATGCCAGCCCCACGTCAGCGATATATGTATCTGTAAATATATAGGACTATGAATTTGGAACTCTTCATGCAAGGTGAACTTCACAATAGCCCTAGGCTAGACGCCTGCTACATTTCCTCCTGGTGGGGAAAAAGGTCATCATGTTTTGTGGAAATGTGTTTATAATATTGAGTGTGAACTCACTGCATATATGTGATCTGGCTTTTTAAATAACTGAAGCTCTTGTTCCTCAGTGATCCATGAGGGGGTAGATAAACTGTCAAGTGGTGAGAATAGAAATGAGAGCGTGTGCCCAGCTCGGCACCGTTACTAAGGAAAGCAGCAGTAAGCCGTCCAGGACGAAGTGCTTGGTCCTACGTGTCTGGGACGCAGCAGGCTGTCTGTCTGCCTGATGTCTTCATCCGAGTGCTTTCCAGTCCTGACCAGCATGTGCTGTCGCTGCCAGGCAACAGCAACAAGTGCTTGGGATGCAAGGTCCTCACCTTGAAGGCTGAGAATCCTGGAGCTGCCTTTAAGGCAAGGTGATGAACGCTGGTACGGGGCTAGCCCGGCAGGTCCAGAAGACCAGCACTCACTCAGCAGGCTCCTGGGGAGGGACTGGCTGAGTGGAAAGCCAGGCTCACAGTATTTGCCCTGTTCCATTAGTGCAATTTCAGGGTCACATGGAAAATTCAACAGACTGATTTTTTAAAATCCCATCTGAGACTGAGAAGAAGGGTTTTTCACTCTTTCCCTTTGAAGTGGCATCTCATCTGGACTCAAGTCATACCACGTGGGGCTACAGTGTCGATACACTGACCATCAGTGAGGGGTGGCAACTGTGGCAGCCCCTTGTCAGTCACCCAGCCATGGGAGAACACAGGCCCTTCACTCTGAGATGGGATTCCGGTTTTTTTGTTTGTTTTTGTTTTTTTGGTTTTGGTTTTTCAAGACAGGTTTCTCTGTGGCTTTGGTTCTTCAATAGAATTTTGTCCTGTGTACCAAGTTATCCTAGAGGGATACCAAGCCCTTTATTTAAAAGTGTCAAGTTAGGGCTCTGATGACATTAGAGACAGGCAGC